CAAAAACATGAGTGCAGGTGCAAAGAAATCGGATAAGAGTTACTTCTCGTTGAAGAGGCGGCGGAAGGTGAAGCAAACTGTAAGTTCATCAGTCAGTAGGATGGACCGTGGGCTTAATGATAGATCGCCCGGAGTCCTGCCAGCAGGACTTAAAGTACTTCCGGTAGGACGCAAAATTAAAAGATTACAGTTTCGTAAGTATACATTGTACAAATTTCAAATTTACACGAAAAAATAGAGTGTTTCTCTCTCTTTCACCCAATAGTGCCCAAGATCGAAAAACGCGACTAACCGTTAGTCGGAGCCCGATGGCGCACGAGTATACACGGGGGCAGCGCGTTCGCGCTCGCGCGACACATTTTGACGCGCCGGGCGTGGAGTCGGCAACATTTTGGCGATAATATTATAATGAATGTGAAGTATTCCAGCCTAATCAAACATTTATAATTTATTTCTTGTTTTTGTTTTTAATTTGTAGTGTATTTGTAAGTGATAGGTGTAATTTCTAATACAAAGTGACGTACCAAAGTAATTAATTTAAAGTTCCTTATTATAGTTCCTATTAGTTAAGTTGAAAGAAGATAAACAAGTTTATAATATATTAAGAAAAGTAAAATACTGGTTAAACAAAATGATTCTACGACATGACTTTTTATTTAATAAACACTAACCAAGTGTTTACTACTTCTGGTGAGGATGAGTTCAAATTTGAAGGTCACCGTACTGCTGGAAGGACCAGCAAGCAAACACGTACAAATTGCGTACTGCGGGCAGGACTTGCGATAATCTTCTGGCAGGACGTTTAGAACAAAAGACCAGTCCTTCCAGAAGAGCTTCCAGCAGGACAAAGCACCGGGCGATCTATCATTAACACATAGTTTAGGATTCCTTGTGGTGCTTTCTAGAGTTGTTACTTTATTTGTGGATATGCAATAGAAACTCTTGGTGCACTATGCAGTCTTCGACCATACCTAATATTGCAGTGATGATACTAAAAACGTCTAAAGGCCTCCCTCTGATATAGTGATGAGCAACTGTGGAAAGTTACACCACACGTAGCCCGAAACACGTGCCTGCTTTCAACTTTTATTTCTTGATTTTATTATGCCATATTATGTTTTTGTGTTTAAAAAATCATAATAACGTGGATTCAAGATTTTGTTATCTTCTTTTATGTATATTCATTATTCATTGGCAAAATTCTTCGAAAAGAAATGAAAGAAATCGTGACGTGAGTTATAAACAATACTATTTTGTTTCATCAAAGCTCAGCTAGCTCAATGAAATCCTTTTATGTGAATGTTTTATTTATGATTGCCCATGCGTTTTCCCAGGAACGTCAGGGTATGTGTGCACAACTACTCACAGTGCTCACTCGCCTGCAGTGTGATTTGTAAATATTAATGTTACTAATAACATCGCCCTTAGCGTCGTAAATGAAATTGTTAGCTCGTCTGCGACGGTGATGTCACGGACGAAAATACTGGCGCTTGTTCTTTAAGAGTTGCCAGGGTTATCACTTTTCACAAAGCATCTGATAAAAGGCAAATCAAGGGTATTTTAAGGAATATATTCAGTAAAGTTATCTGTGTACCTACCTATACCCTTGGCAAATGTTTACCAAAATGACAGGTACACTAAAGTTGTCTTCCATACCCTTGGTCAACGTTTACCAAAATAGCAGACAATTGTTGCTTTGGTTCGTTCTCAAATCATTGTGCCTTTATATTATCATGGCCATCATGGTTCTATTATTATCATGACTTTTAGTTTCGCTGGCCATAGTTATCAAAATAACACAATTTCAATCGGTTAGTTAGTACTACCAATAGGCATGGAATTTATTTATCTGATGTTATTTCTGGTATTTGTTCTAAGTCTTGTCTGAACCTTACGTTACATTTGAATTTGCAATAATTTAAGTTTCCATTTAACTGATCTCAAGAAGGAATAAAATACAATTTTGTATCGAGTCATAAATATTAAATATTTATTTCCATCATAAACATCGTTAGCGTTTTACGAGCTCTATGTCATTAAGATGTTTACTCGCACCAACTGTTTGATAAGCCCCAGTCAAGACACATATTTGTTCCTTTGTTAAACAAGTTAATACTATAACACTTTCTTCCTGCCAGATCCTTACTCGTTTAGTTGTTATTCTGCCATGATTTCTGTTATTTCTCGTTGTATTCTTGAGATCCATATACAGGCTTTGCTGCAGCTTTTCAAGGATACTCTTATAATTTTCTCTCAGATAACAGAGAATTATCGGCCTGATCATCACTTTCCATTAGGTGAGATGCAGCTCAAGAGTTTTCTCGTTGTGGATAAAAACAGCGATATTATTAACACAACAATGACGTAATATGCACCGAAACCCCAAAAGCAGAAAGCTAAGTTGTTATTAGGATTGGGGCAAGGAATGGCAGGTTATGATGATGATGATAATGATGAAAATTACTCGATTGGGTGTGGCTCGTTGGGAACAAGCGCAAATAACTTGTATTTTTCTCTTGTATGAATCTTGTCAACCCTGCCATCTCAATGGGTTAGCGACGCCTGACAGTTCAAAGAACACAGTCGCGGCCGGCGCCCGCGCACCGAAACTGAATTGTGACTCATAACAATGAAGGATCGTGATGCATCGGGGTAGTTTTTCTTTTTTGCACTTTATTAGGTGCATATTGCTTTACGACCAGTTATTAAGTCTTCCTGTCATAAACGTCCAAAAATAATGTAATGTGGACTCTTAGTTTATACATATTTGCAAATTATACCCTTCCTAAATAAGATTCCAAAAATGAAAATCCACTGTTTCTAAAATTCGTATAAAATATTTCATCTTCTTCTTCTTCTTGTCGTGTCAACAACAAACCTATACAGTGCCAGCCCAAAATTTCGCTACAAGAGTGGCGTTGTCAGTACCTAGCATTCATTAAATCTTCCTGCGTGCAGTTGTAATAATAAGTCGAAAATATATTACACCAATTTTACCTATATTGTCAGAACGTTTTTATATTATGTGGTTCTAGCACAACGTTAGTTAGCGTTCTTTGTACAACTTACACTTATTATTTACAGTCTGAAGACGGGTTGCGTAATGTATTGAATACCTGCAATAATAACGATGATGCTCCGATCGCGATTATCTCACATGTAATCTGAATCGAATGTTTATGTTTCGAGCGTTATCAAGAATTACAATTGCAAATGTAAGCTTTGTATAAAAGGTTTTTGCCTCGCCTGTCGCTTTCCTTATTTGTGATATTTGCGTTCTCTTTATGGCAACTACTTGCTTCTTCCTCGTCGGTATTTCTGGGATTTAAATTGCAATTTTTACCGCGTCCGTCATGTAGCCTTATTTATTGCAGCCAAATTCTGCACGCGTTGATTTATCTTTTCAGTTCATTTTAAATGGTTCCATTTTAAGTGTAAAATATGAGTAAATCTTATTTGAAATTTAAAAATAAAAGAAATTGAAGTCTGCATTTAATACACCAGGTTGTGATGTCCATTGAACCTGTTTTTAATTGCATAATCTCCAATTCTCGATCGTGATTATTATCTTTAATGAAACTAGTAGTAGGTATTATTATTAGAATTTATAGCATGATCTAATTGCATTCTCATCACGTAAGCGCTATCTAGAGATTTTTTCTTTTGCTAGGATAATCTTTTGTTATGCGCTGTATTCGCATATTATTTGTTGATAGGATTATGTAGAAATTATTTATCCTTTGTTCGGTATAGGACAGATTCTGGGATTGGACAGATTCGTGGATTCGGCACATACTGGATTGGACGGATTCGTGGATTCGGCAGATTCTGTGATTCGACGGATTAGCTATACGACAGAAGTACAGGTGTAAATAAAAAATAAAATAAAACCCACTTTTAGTTAAAGAATTTAGTTAAATTATAAATGCGAAAGTTTGTGTAGATGTCTGGATGTTTGTTACTCTTTCACGAAAAAAGTACTGAACAGATTTTGTTGAAACTTTACAGTATTATTGTTTATAACTCACATTAACATATAGGCTATAATGTATGACGATATGTGACAAATAAATTTCAATAAATAAATAAGACGTGTCTAAACGGATACTGTACACAGATATAATTTAAACTAAGCTACTGCGTGGATATCTGTTATTGGCTTTCCATAGTGTTAAGTGTCTAATGTTACATTGAAATCTGTAAGCTGTTGATGTCCCTAATAAATAAATAAATAAAAACATTGGTTAAAATCTACAGCCTCCGACTGCATTTGTGAACACTATAAGGCTTGTTTTTATCTTTTAGGTTCATTTTTTAACTTTTGTGTTCATACAGGATAAACTCTGTCAGTGTGCTAAATCCATTTAGCATTTGAAACGTGATTGGGAAATAAACACCCTAACTCACAACATTACAAAGTTTCACATTTTAATACTTATTATTAGTAAGATGGATTTTACTTTTTACACATAATCTTTTTGAGCACGACTGTTCATTTTCTGTCATATAGCTAATCCGTCGAATCACAGAATCTGCCGAATCCACGAATCCGTCCAATCCAGTATCTGCCGAATCCACGAATCTGTCCAATCCCAGAATCTGTCCTATACCGAACAAAGGTTATTTATTGCGTTCAAGATGGCCTGTGCTGATCCTAAAAATCATCTTCAATAACTCTGGCAAACTTTATAAAAGTACCGATATTTCGCGTGTTCATTGTGCTGATGATATAGATTCTTCTAGATCTCTATTAGGTATATCGTATGCACCAGCTTTGGCCCGCAGCTCCGCCTCCGTTAATTTCGGTCTGTCATTCCATATTCTATAGGGTAAATTCATCAATGATAATGTAGAATTCTATTGGTGAGAGAATTTTTTAAATTGGTCCAGTAGTTTAGTATCCTATTCAACACAACTGCACAACAAATCTTTCCTCTTTATAATATTAGTGTACAAACTTCATCGTCAGCAATACTAATCTTATTATTACGTTGTTCCAGAATGACGAGCCTCCCGAAATCACGTATTGCGTGGTGGGGGGCGAGGGGGGTCTGGCCTTACAAGCCGTCACCCCCACGCACCCCATGCCGCCCCAGGACGAGTTGGACGCCAAGTTCGCGGAGCTGGTGGTAAGTTCTTTCATCATCTTCAAAATTTTCCAACCTGTGAACTTTTATTAGGGAGTACATAGTTTATGTTTGTATGAAAAATTATAAATACCTAGCTAGACTCTTAACCGAATGTGTTTGGCCATAGGATACTTTAATTCAAGTGTAGTATAGGCAGGTAGAGTTCCAGTTATAGATAGTTTTGACTGAAAATAGGTTCATGGAAATTTGGATTGATATCGCATTGAGAATGCCTAAATTAAGCACAATTGAAATAAGTAATGCAGGTAGTGAAACAGTACTCGTACAATCTGTCAACCTGTGCCTACAAAAGACCAAAGTAGACCTGTGTCTACAAAAGACCGAAGTAGGCCTCCTACTGTTATATTTATTCGTTCGCCAACAAATACTTGTACCAAAAGGCTTGAAACGACTCAGCCCGTTTATGGTGGGCGTCGAATACATCGATATCAACAATTTAGGTGCTAGAAGCAGATCTTGAATCTACATTCATTACTTGTCGAAATACGAGAGAAAACGCGCTTGAGAAAATCCGCTAACTCGTCTAACCGCTCCTAAAGTGTCCAGTTTATGATAATCAAGATAATAAACACGCGTGAGTAAGTATCGATTGAAGCAAAGCCTTGTTCGCACTGGTTGAGTTATTTAGTAGAGTAACTCGCCTTTAGTAATAACTACTTGCTGCTGACCAAAAAACTGGTCGCGTACAGTTATTAGTAACTAGCGGCTTCGTACGCGTGGATCCCGTTTAACCCTCTTAGGGGTGGAGTTTCGTAAAATCTTAGTGAGCATCTACGTTCTAAAAGGAACCCCCATGCAGAATTTGAGACTCCTAGCACTTGTAGTTTCTGAGATTTCGTGATGAGTGAGTCAGTCAATCAGTGACCTTTCGCTTTTATAAATATAGAGTGACTTTTATATGAACTCGACTAAACCGGTCGGCTCGAAAATGAGCGAATGAGCAGGGACACGTGCTGGTTTGGGGTGCTAGTGCTACTCGAATGTCAAAATAAAACTAAATAGATTTTCTCTCGACTTTACAATTTAGCAACCTACTCGACTAAATTTTTGGTGTTCGGACACGTTTAGCTATTAAATTACTCTCAACTCGACTAAATTACTCGACCAGTGCGAACAAGGCTTTATAGATCGGTTATGAAAGTAAATTACGGTTTGATCACAGCATCAGTGAGCTCCGTAATAGTTTTAATTTGACACATTTGTCTTGCACCATTACTCTCGATATTTATTGAAATATTCATGTTTGTTTGATCAGCGGCTATCATCGCTAATTGAGTTAGCTCGTTTAATGGTAAAACTGCTTCGTTGATTAGCTTCCATTTGATATTGAGCGCTGTTTCCACCTTAATTATATGAAATAGTCTTTGATTTTATGAAGTTTAACAAAACACGTGTTTTATTATTATTTCCTTATGTAGGTTATTCTTGAGTGCTAAAATGATCAGTGTATATTTTATTGTTTATTTTTATTTAGTAACTATCATGATATACCTTGCCTAATCATTATTTATTACTATAATTGGCTTTATTATTTACTAGCGGCCGCCCGCGACTTCTTACGCGTGGATCCCGTTTTACCCCTTTCATCTATCTTACGCGGTTTAGATTTTTTATACAAATGTTTTTTCCCGCTAACTCCCGTTCCCGTTGGAATTTCGCAATATCCTGTTGTAACTAAGCTTTAAGTTTACTAAGGGACCTGCATGCCAAATTTCAAGCGTCTAACTTAAGCGGTTTAGATTTTTCATACAAAAGGATTTTCCCGCTAATGCCCGTTCCCGTGGGAATTTCTAAGTATCCTATAACCTGCCCAGGAGTATGAAGAATAATTGTACCAAGGTTCGTTAAAATCCGTCAAGTAGTTTTTGTTTCTATAAGGAACATACAGACAAACAGACAAAAATTTTACTGATTGCATTTTTGGCATCAGTATCGATCACTAATCACCCCCTGATAGTTATTTTGAAAATATATTTCATGTACAGAATTGACCTCTCTACAGATTTATTATAAGTATAGATTTTACACTACTGTTAGTATGAGTAGAAATACTTATAAAAATGGAACCAAACGCTTGTTCTAAATACAATAACACTTTTCATTGTCTCGAAAAAATATTTCCAGAATCATTAATATTTGTCATGAAAGGACGTTGAGACAATGATCTCACTCCTCCAACAATCAGTTGCCTCATCAGAATGTTAATAACGTTTCTCAAAACATGAAACTGTGAGTTTTCATAATAACTCCTTCGGCAGGTACCGCATGTAAAGGTGCATTCACAGCGACTCTTCTTTATTGTTTTTCATTTTCATCATAGTCATTTCATAGATGACAATAGTAAAGTTTTATATCGGATATTCAATTACTCGTATATGTATAAATCGGAAGATTATTTGGATCACTACTCATCCTAATTGCATCTATGTGTTACTTATCTATACGTTGAAGTAGGTACAGTTTATGGTAGATGACATCAGCATGGAATCATGGATTTATTTGCACACTATAAAAGTTAAAAAGATGAATTTTATCTTTTATAATAATTTATTTAATTAATATCGGTGAATTATTTCAATGGTAGATAGCATTCGGGATATTGAAAAAACTGTTTTTGTAGGTATTCATTTTTTCCGAAAGAACTACAATTTTCATTCAAATGATTAAGCAAATTTATATCGATAGAGTTCTTTGAATTGTACCTACTTATTTCTGATGTTGAGAAAACTCTTGAATGCATTTTCTTCTGATAGGATGAAACTATAATTTCCATTATAAAGAATTCACTAAAATCAGTACAAAATAAACTTTGACTCTATGGTATTGTAGACGCGTCCTAAGTAAAGCTCGGTTAAATTCCCATCATAGTGTGCCTAATTTCGACATTGTTCAGCCCAGCCATTACGCGATCAATCTAGACCGCGGTTAAGTGCATTAAACGAAAAGGGGTTTCTATTCTATTTGAAGAGCAATTTAGTGAATGCACGCCCCATGTTATGCAACAACTCCTTTGATAGTGTACTAAATTGTGTTCTACTAATTGTATTTTTAAGAAAAGGAAAATTTTTGACGCTTAAAAAATGTAGAGAACTGCCGAGAAAGTGATTACATTTTTCCGGTGATCGTGAGTGTACATCGAAATAAGTAGGTGCTGATTTTGTTGTTAGTCGTAAAAGTTAATGAACTTTTAGTATGTTAATATAAATCAGGTCAAATTAATGAAGAAAAATATGTACACACGACAGCACATCAGGTTAGCCATTTTTGTTGCAAACTCGCCCCTATTACAACTGCACAAGAACCCACAGTGGTTACGTTGACGTGCCGTCGTCCGTACTTATAATTTTCGTTTTTCCGGAGCAGAATGTGTGTTATCGTAACTTAATTAAATTAACTTGAGTTATTTCTTTCCGCGGATAATAATGTGTCTACTTAAAAATAATTAATGTATTTATTTACTGTACATAATAGGTCACTTTCATTTTCAATATTCGGAAAATATCAGTAATTTTATTATTTCTTTAATTTGTTTGACACAACATAAACAACTTGATTGTATTACAGACATATTAAGTAATAAGAAAAATTGTTTACCGCAATGATATTACGTATCATATAGGTAGCTACCTAATTATGAGTATCAGAATGTTTTAGTGATAAGCCTGAAATTCGGTTATATAAATGTTTTGAGTTCTTCATTCAATATGCAGTAACGACCATTTTCTTTTCCGTGAGTTCTGCTAGTTGTAAATAAACATCGAAAATAATAATAATAATAATAATAATAAAAGATTCAAAAGGCGGTGATCCTCAGCACGGCACGCATTGTCCGGAGGTTCCTCAGCCTGTGACCCTGACCACCGGTAGCTTGGGCCCTGCTCCGCTACCAGCGGATTAACTATTTTTAAGAATTTTTTTTATAATGTATATTTAGTTTTTTTATAATTTACATTGTAAAAAAAATATTAAAAATAAGAAGGAAATTGAATAAAGAGATAATAATAAACTCTAGTACAAAAATTCAAACACAGACTAAATGTTATACTTAAAACACAATTATATGCCAAACACACCATCAAAGCTATTAACACTTTTGCAATCCCTATTCTTACTTATTCATTTGGTATCATAAAATGGACAAACTCAGAACTTAAAGGATTACAGCGCAACATTAACACGACTATGACAAAAAATAGGAAACATCACCCTCGCTCTTGCATCCAAAGGCTGACTCTCCCGCGAAGTGAAGGAGGGAGGGGTCTTATTGATATTACAAATCTTCACAATAAACAAATAGCCAACCTCCGTTCTTATTTTTATCACAAAACAGAAACATCTCCTTTACATGAAGTAATCACATTAAATGATAAACGATTAACGCCGCTTAACCTACAAGATAAAAACACACAGAAAAATGAAAAAGTTACAGACAATGCAAGTAAAATAGCTGATTGGGCCCGGAAGTCACTTCATGGCAGACATTGTAGCGACTTAAACCAAACTAACGTCGACAAAAGTGCGTCGAACGAATGGTTAAATCGTGGCGAACTGTTCCCAGAGACAGAAGGTTTCATTCTAGCAATACAAGACCAGGTAATAGAAACAAGGAACTACCAAAAATATATTATGAAAACTCACAACCTACCTACAGATTTATGCAGGAAGTGTAATAGTGCCTCTGAGACTATTCAACATATTACAGGTGCGTGTAAATCCATAGCCCAAACTGATTATAAACATAGACATGATCAAGTTGCAAACATCATTCACCAGAAGTTAGCTTTAATGTTCAAACTGTTACAAGGACCCCCAGTAGCTTATTATAAATATACTCCCTTAACGGTACTAGAAAACAACACCCATAAACTATACTTTGATAGAGCCATACTGACTGACAAGACCACGCATTACAATAGACCAGATATAACAATCGTTGACAAAACTAACAGAACAGCTCACCTTATAGATATCGCAATCCCTAACACCCACAATTTACAATCAACAATAGCTGAAAAGTTAAGCAAATATAT